GGCACTCTGCTGCAGCGATATGAATATTCCGCGGCAAGTTTCACATATCAATCGCACGCTGCTCCATTTTTATTCCACGGTTCCGCGATTCTCCTCTTACGCGTAAATAAATATGTACCGACGCGGATACTTTCAGAGAATCAATATAATAAGTGCGATACACCGTCCCGTGTATCGACAGGTTCGCCACAACGATAAGTCGTGCGTATCGAAGTACGAGTAGAAGAGACGGAGTAGATCGCGGCGAGTGCGATTTCTCAAGGAAATTGCGGATGCCCGACAATGGCGGCATGCAGGGGCTAGAAGAGAGGGACGACATTTGGGAAAAAGGTCAGCAATTTACGGGCATTCATCGACGTCGAGGGTTGCGGTAGCGAGGGATCTTACTGCACGGTATTCCGACTGGGAGGTCGTTCCCGCGTGTATCGCAGCCATGTGGAATTCTGGTCCCCGGTGATTTCCTTCTCTTTCTCGATGCACGGTCTTCTTCTTCCCGATTCTAGCCCCCCATTTTGACAATGGCAGTGAAATTCATCGCGATCGTTCGCCAGGAAATATCAAGAGGCTCTTCCTCTCTTTCTCTCACCCTCTCCCGTCCACTCCTTAATCTCGTTCCTGCAAAACGCGTCGCCATTTCCGCGGGATGAATGGAGATTCCTGGACGTGGGGTAGAAGCGGAGCAAGAGGTACGATAAAACAATTCCCGACGACCCGCGATTAGATTTATCGAACAGTTATGGCGAGCGAGGAAAATCCGACGGCGGTAAAATGATCGGCGACGGGAGTGCTTTATAGACGGGAGGACGTCGTAATGTCGGTCTCGGCCTCCCGGCTAGATATGCTCCGATTATCAATTTCACACGTTGCAGAGCCGAATCACGATTCAATTGTTATCCGTCTGGTGATACTTCGTCGTCAAATTGTGTCAAATAATCATTTGGTAAGTGAATTTTCGTAATCAAGAGACAGATTTCTATCTTTTTTAGCAAAGATTCAAAAATAGCAGAAGAACACTACGATAAATGTAAATTGATCGCTATCGAAAGATTTGTTCTTCAGTCGAGAAAAGAGAAGGGGTGTGAAGAGATCATGAAAGAGTAATTGCTGCGAGGTCTCAAAGCTCACAAAGCTGCTTGTGCCTTTAATATTATACAGAGTCAACAAGGCCACGTGCAATTGCGGCTTCTCCGTGCTTCAACAGTCTTGCGAAACTGTTAATTCTCGAGAGGGTTATTGCTTATAATTACGCCTCACCGTTAGACATTATCCAACGCAGCATTCTCTTTCTACCCCTTTCCGGAGGAGTCGCTGAGCCTTAACGAAGGATAATGTCAGCCGGCTGGGCAGGCGGCTCCTGAACATTAGCAATTATCCGGAGTCCACGCAAGCCCATCATTTACCTGTACGCCATATTAACCCTTTCAAGACGACCATTTTCACGGTTTAATTCCATAGATAGCGTTTTGTCTCTTTGAGCTATGGATAATTAATTACAGTACATTTTCGCTGCGCTAGAGCAATTTGCGGGTATAATGAGATATTACAAATGTCACCGCGCTTCGCATAAACCGCGAGTACGTATGAATAATTAATTCAATAATTTATAAGTAAAATTAATTGAAAATTGATTGTATGTTACAATTACTTGGTTTGGCAATTGCTGATTTATTAAAACGCGGCGTATTTTCCAAGGAGAGCTAGGTACTCTTTAAAATCTTCGAGGGGTTAAAATCGCGGTAGACTAGTGCCATATTAGGCCGAGGAGAATTGAATAGGACGAAAAATGTGTACAAATCATAAAATGTAAAAGGCATAAACTCGCTGGGTCGATCATACCGATGGCCTACTTTAATAATCGCCACGCTGCTTGCGAGACACGCAAAGTTGTAATTCGATCTCTCACCGTATTTCGAGCACAACTGGGCGGGGGGGGGGGGGGGGGTCTAACAACAAGTATTTAATAATTAGTTTTTTAAAAGCACCTCGGTTGTCAAACCAATCAAGTCGCATGATAATTAATTTACATCGGAGAAATGTCTACGCCATGTCAGATGTAACCTTTTGAAATTTTACTAAATTAACTTGTAAAACCTAATCTTTTTTATTATTTATCTTTAGCTTCAATGCACCTTTTAATTATATCTTTAATCATATAGATTGCTATGTGCATTAAGTTATTGATATTCCTCGCCAACTTTCCGCTCTAGGTTTCCGAAAGCGCTCGATCATTCGGGGAAGATTCAGAAAGCGGAGGAAACCGAAGTGCAAATGCATCGTGCGTCTAAAAAAATTTGGCAACGGCCATCGCGTGCAGGTACTCTCCGCGCTTGGCAATTAATCAAGCTCGCAAGTCAAACAGCCTAATGAACTGGGTGCGTGCGTGATCGAACTGCCAGACTGCCGCTTCTCTCTTCACCCGAATAGTCGATGGAAAAAAAAACAAGATATTTCTGCGATGCGCGATTAATTAATGCATCATAAACTACAGAAAGAAAAATTATGCGGATAAACCATAAGCAATAAAATAAAATATCTGTCGTTATTTAATCGCGTTTAACTGTGCTCAATTATTATGGAATGTTTGACATATTTTAAAACGACCCTTTCCTCGTTTCAGTTTTCGCATTAGAGAGATCGTGCGAGGATAATTTTCAAATAATTCCTAAACATGGCTTTCAGGCTTTCGCGGCTGTTGTCTTCTTTAGTCGTCATGGCTTCCGGATGGTTGCCGCGTCCGTTTGCAGTGTGGTGCCGACGTTTCGCAGGCGTTGCAGTCTGCTTCATCAGGGCTGGGAGACTCTGATACTGAGCTCCCTCGCGTTGCGCTAGTCCTTTTATACTCGTTCTTGGGGGGAGGGAAGGGGGAGGGTGGTCAGAGGGAGGGGGGTCAGCCTGTGCCGGCTGACAGTTTTTTAAAAAACCGGGAGGGCGGTGTGCCATATCGGGCTCACCTGATAGCCTTTGTCGCGATTCAGATTGTCAGGGTGTTTCAAGATTTCTATGCCTTCGCGTGTTTTCGTGCGAAATAGCTTTGGGACGGGGCCAGCATGGTGGCTTTGTCGAACTGGATAGCGTGTCCGGTCTCGATCTTGTGTTCGGCTAGAGCTGATTGTGAGAAGTGGCCGTATTTGGTACATCGCTGGTGTTCTTTGATTCGTGTACTAATAATCTTCCTCCCGGTTTCTCCTATGTACGCTTTGCCGCAGGAGCATGGGACCTTGTAATTCCTAAACATCTCTAGCTTACTCAACAAGTGCACGGAGAGGATTTTCTCGTAAAAGTTATCCTGAAAATCGTGTAATCGTAGGACAACATGGCATTTTGAAAAACTTTATGACAGTTTTCTGAAATATTACCACACATTTTAGTAAAATATAAGGTAAAATTTCAGAAAACTCTCATAACGTTCTTCACAATGCTATGTTGTCCCACGATTACACGATTTTCAGAATGTATTCAGTAAATTAAAAGCTATAATGAGACATCATTAAGAAAGCATTAAACTGTATTTGATTTAAATATGTAAAATCATTGACATAGACTCCCCACCCATTCAAACATCGCCGGACGCAACCAAATGTATTTGAATTAATTGTCCGCAGTATCGATCGCGGACACTCGCAAAATCCCGGTTGTACCGGATGATTGCCCTGTCACTTCAGACTGATGCAAGCGAATCGATCGGTCTTTTCACCCACCGAACCGGTACTCGTCCTCCGAGAGGACTTGTCAAGGAGCATCTCGACCGCGCTGTACACGCGATTGATAAGGCATTGCGTATGCACCCACGCACGAACGCGTCGTTCATCACGTTCTGACATATGTAGGTTCGCGGTTATTAATTTCGGTCGAAACTCACCGCCGGTTTAGACGTGCGCGAAGGAAAACACAACGGCGAAATTCACGGTCGCAGTCCTCCCCTTCTACGTTCGTCGATGCGTTTCGCGAAAATCTTCATTTTTATTCTGATTAATAACAGACAAATGATAATAGCATTTAACGGGAATATTAAGAAAATCACCAGTGAGGATATTTCGCAGCCGTAATATTTGTACACTCGTTACGAGCGCTCGCACTTTTACGAAAGAAGACCCTGAGGGATTCCCCGAAGCCTTCCCCGAGAACAGTCCTCCACGAGGAAGTAACTTCGAGAATTGACTCAGGGTTTGGAGACGTTTGGAAACTTACCTGACAAGGAAGAGGACAGCCGCGTGGGTCAGAGATCCCTGAAACAAAGACAACAAAATTAGACAAGTTTTTAGAGCGCACACCTCCAGTCGCAATATTCCACCGCTCTTAATCCTTAAATGCCCAAAGTTTCTTTGTCACTGATTTAAACCGCTCCGAAGTTACGTGGCGAGTTTTACAACGCGGGGGAAGCGTCGGGGAGAAAGAAATCCCGCGCGGTTGAGAGATAAATCGTCTTCGGCCGCGTCTCCGCGAATATAATTGGTGGAGCTTATTTCTGAGGCGTCTTAAATCCATATTTTTGAGAAACGGAGATTAAGCGGTACAGATCTTTCGACAGCTTATAATAAGATCTCAAGGGAGAAAGTAATTTATACTTTCGCAAAAATACGGGCTGAAAATGGTTTCAAGCTAAGCCCTTCAATTATGTGCGCAATCTATCTTCTACTTCGTTTTATAATTAGGTATTAGAAAGATCGAAACTTTAGACTTAATTATTGGGGTAAAAAGATTCAAAAGAGCGAACTCACTTTTCAGGTAAAAGCGCCGTATTTAAAAGGACGTGTCTTTCCGATTCATCCAGATTCAAATGCTACTTTTGGATATAATAGAACTATGCTATCAAATTCGAAATGTGCAGAGAAGTGATATTTATTTCGTTTTGCAATAAATAGCCATAATGGACTCGGTCGAATTGGATGGACATGTCTAAAACGCGCCTGACACCGGCGGAGTAATAATAGTTTAATTCTGTTGGTAAAAATTATTCTGAAAAACAGACTCGATTTCTATAATCTTCTAACTCGACACTAAATTTATGGAGGGTACTGTATGTAACAAAAGATTCGTACACGCACGGAGAGAATAAAATTTGTCCGGGAAATTATGTGATCGTGGGACAACGCGGCGTTTCGATGAGTTTTGAGTTTCTTTTAATTCTCACCATACGAATAATTATACCTACACATTTTACCGGTAAAGTGTATGGTAAAATTTCAAAAAACTCAAAGCTCCTGAAAATGCCACGTTGTCCCACGATCGCACGACTTTCAGGATAAATTTGAAAAGAAAATTCTCTCCGTGTGCGAATAACAAGTTTGAGGAAGCTCGTATTACATGTCGAAACAGGCCATTCGTTTCTAAAATCATGCAGCGCATACTCCGCGTCCCGAACGCTTTCCTTTGACGACGCCCGCATTAATTAAGTTCGCTCGGTGTTGCAGCTGATGTCACTGCTACAGTCGGCGGTAGAAAGGCCGCGCCGGTTCAACAAGATATCCCTCGCTCCTAACTGCGGAAATGTTTCGTCGACTTCATGCCCCGCGTGAATTCTCGGCGAACTTTCCACGACTTTGATGTACAGCTACTTACATTATATCCCGTCGCCCGACCCGATTCATAATGAATCCCTAACGAACTCGGCGAATTAGGAAACACGGATTCCTCTCGAACAGACGTTCGCAAGTTATTCCTCGAGTGTATCAACCGAACTTATTCGTACAAATGTATTCGCGTTGCTTGAACTCGCTCGTATCTTGAAAGGCGACTTCAAACGCGTTTGCGCTTCGCTCGAACACGTTGTCGAGGGCCGTGAGACCTGCGAACCGACGATATTCCGCGGAAAGTTGGAAAACGGTCCACGCGCTTTTCTCAAGCAGCTTTTAAACGGCTATCGAAAGTCCAAACGCCGTTTTCCGACGAAACTTCTCAACGAAATTCCTGTAATTTAGTAGCCGGCTGGAAAAATGTCACTTGAGCCGAGTTTCCGTGCCTCTAAAAACTTACTGTTCTAAAGATCCTAAAGAGTTTTACCATTTTTTAGTGTGGCCGTATGGGCCTAAAAAAGTTTACACTAGTAATCTAATCTTCTAATTAGATAACACCATTAAAAATACATGTATCACGGTCCAAAATCAAATTCAATAAGATTAAAGAGTACAAGGCGTGCATGTACTACTCGGAGTTTATACGCGAAGTTTCGGGATTCCAATGGAACGTTTATTAACATATTTATACAGGCGCGTTAAGCTAATTCTAAAAAAAATCTAGTTATGAAATCACGGTACTTTGCTCGAGAGCTTTTTCCGCTCTCACGCAAATCCCCAAGGAGTTGGCAAATACACCGCTTTGCATTCACGAGGAGGTTTTGCCGGTTTTGCTGCGGCAAGATGCAAATGCCGGTGGTTACTCATAAGTCATCCCGCGCGCATTAGGAAATCGAAGTGCGATGCTCATGACACGCCATTCGATGGCGCAATCCCAATCATTAGCGTATGCGCCGCGCGAGCATCGGCACGATAGCCGATGTAGTAAAAGCCGACACATTAAGGCCGGCGAAAAGCGCAAACTCCTCAACACGTGCGGTTACTACATGCCTCGCGTCGTAACACAAATATCCGACCGGCCACGTGGCCGCTGGGTGGTGGAGTTCTCTCTTTCTCTCCCTCCCCCTTCCTCTCCGCCTTTTCTCAGCGATAGCGGTCAAAATTAATGGCGACGCAACGTATCGTGAAATTCACATATAAGAACTTCAAGTTTGTTTGACCGTATCTGGTAATTTTTATGTTCAAGGCTCGCAACGTTTCGACCATGGGCTGTCGTCCTTTCCAAGCGAACTGACTGAGAAAAGTCATGTCAGGGCTGGGAAAGTTACTTTATAAAAGTACCATAGTTACGGTTACAGTTTTTTCGCTAAAACATGTAACTAGTTGGAGTCACAAGTCACCAATTCTGAAAAGTAACGCGTTATAGTGACAGTTACAGAAATTAATTGCTTCGCAATTACTTTCTTGCAATGAAAATAAAAATATCAAATCTACATTTGAATTGTAAGGCGTCGATAAAGGCGTTTATGCGCAAATGCAAGGCCTAATGCGATCTGTGGAGGTTTAAAATATATACAAAGTAACTATTAATGTATGTATTAAATTAGTTACTAGTTATCAAAAAAATATAACCAAGTCAAGTTACAGTTACAGATGGAGAGAAAGTAACGAAGTTAAGTTGGAATTACTAAAAAAAGTAACTGTAACTGTAACTTCGTTACAAGTAACGAGTTACTTCCCAACCCTGAGTCCTGTGCATAGATTTGTGTTTTTCGGTGATCCAAACTGTATTTGTGGTCACAGAAATGCTGTAAATGTTCAGTGTCACAGTTTAACAGACGAGAACTTCATTCGAGGGATGACAGAGCACGACTTCACGTATAAGCTTAGTGCAACCTGTGATAAGCGTATTTTCGGAGTGTTGCTAAATTTTAATTGCTTTTCCGTACAAGCCATATAAGTCTTACTCGATTGTTTCGCGACTTATCACGATTTGTAATATTATTTTCGGTTTGTTATTTTTAATATTAGATATTTTTGTTATCTCAAGTAAATTCTTTTAAAAAAGATCCACTACGCAATAAGCGGATTCGACTACTCATGGCAGTGCACTTTTACTAAAAATACCCACGTTAAAATTTGCATTGAGTTTACAGTCAATTATCACGGTATTATTTTAATTAGGGAGGAACTTTTAATTTAAACACAGACGATACGTTAGGCAAAATTATGTATGTAAATGATTTTATAAAATACTGTCTGAAGTAGAGCATAAAATACTACGGACAAAAAGTTGACCTTATTAGTAGATAGTGCATTAATAATCCTAACTAAATATCGCTATTTTAATTGACCGAAAGCATTAAAGAACTGAAAAGGCAAAATGTAAGAAGTGGCGTTTGTATGGATTATTGATACTGACAGAATTCGGAATTTCATAAAGTTCTTTAGGCGTCTCTTTTGGAGATCCCATCCATATAGAGATCTACAATCACATTTTCTGTAGTCGAGTCTCATATTTCTCAACTGCCAAGGTAGCAGTGCAACTATATGTACGCAGCATTGTACTCCGAGTCTTTCTTCTTTGGAGTAAAGAAATGGTCGACTGCATTCTTCACAGTATCGAATATTCTTCGTGTAAAATCTCCTCTAAAGGATTTCAATTTAATAAAAATAACTTGTAATACTAAATATATATCGTAGACTCCACACGTTCAATAAACTTCATTGCGTAATTTTTTGTGTAATAATTCTTACAATCATATTTTTCCTACAATATGCCTAACTTTTCTCGTTGAGAACATTTTTTCGGCTAGTTGGATCCCTTGCAAATAATTGAGTTTTTTCGTCCAAGATATTTTCTCGAACTCTTTAACACGTCTTCAGCGAGTAAGACGTTTCGGTACTTCGAAAATCGTGTAAAAGTCGCACCAAGACGGAAAAACGAAACAGTTACTTTTCCCTCGCTTGTACGAAAACAGGATAATGTCCTTCTCACTGGGGAAAGAGGATCGAACTTCTCGCATTATCGACACGCGGCGTCTCGACCGATAGTCTCACCCGTCGCGATTCGCTTTTCCGGGGAAATAGGATGCGTCCTGGGGTCTAAGAGAAAAGAAAAACTTCCCCGTCCTAATCTAAATTTGGCACTCGCCAATTTAACTTCGTTCGACCGGCGGATTACCGGGCTGAGTCTACAATACGGAATGGAAACGGCTCTCGGAGCCTTTAACCAGCATGTCGTTTTCCCAAGAGTCTTTTTCCGGCAGCAGGTGCAGTCTTTATTTTCTCCCGTGTCTACAGTTAGTCAAGAAGCTTTAGATATACAACATTGTTGTTAACCTCTTGGCTGTATTAGCGCGTATACATATATCCGAATAAATTTAGAAACTCCTGAAAGCAAGTAAAATTTGAAATACAACATTTCAAATCTGATAAATTTTTGTTAGCCCATTGTTAACTTAGAATCATTTTTTTAATGATTTAAAAATAATAAATTCGACAAAAATAATTTTCGTGAATTCCAATCACCTTTTCCCTAACTTTGCACGCTACTTGTAATCGCTGACAGTTTATTACTTTCCGGTGATATCTCAACTAACTGTAATTGCACGAATTTCCATTTGGATTTTCGATAATTTAGTCGCAGACATCTCCTTAACTTTCTCGCGCGCCAATAACCGAGCGATAAGTGCAACATATCTCACGTGTTC